TTAGCACAGATCCCAGGCTGTCCTGGAACCAAGGAGATGTTGCTATTCTGGTGCCCATGCCCCTCTCCATGTAAGATGTCAGGTGCCCACCCAGAGGAACAGGCTATTATTTTGTTTCTAGGCCCATTTCCAGTACGGGGGTGAGGGTGGGGTGGGGAGGAGGGGGTGGTGGTGTTAGGATATGTGTTCTGGAAGACCAGACAAGAGCCATCCTCTTAGATGACAGCTGAGGAGCAGCAAAAGCCAAGCTCAGTGCAGATTATATACCCGAGAACTGGCTGAGTTCTTGCTCCCAGGCTGGCTGGCTGGCAGCTCACAGGCCACCTTGTCCAGGCCTCCGAAGCAGGTTCTCCTGCTGAGATTGCACACCTGCCCAATGCTGACAGCTGGGCCATGGGGGAGCCCTAACTTGGTGTCCAGGCTTAAGGCAGGCCAGAGGGCGGCTCCTCCTGCAGAGAGATGGTGATAGCCAGCTGGCGTGAATCAGTCCTTTGTTTCCAGGCTTACATTTTATCTCAGCTAAAATTTCAAGTTCTGATGAAAAGTCCGCCATCATTTCAAGTGGCTGATTTGTCTTTACTTATTTTATTTATTACTTTAAAAAGTACATTTCTATTGATTTCAGAGAGAAAGGGAGAGAGAGAGAGAAATATCAATGATGAGAGAGAATCATGGATCAGCTGCCTCCTGCACACCCCATACTGGGGATAGAGTCCATCACCCAGGCATGTGCTCTGACTGGGAATCAAACTATGACTTCCTAGTTCATGGGTCCATGCTTAACCACTGAACTATACCAGCCAGGCAAATGGCTGATTTGTCTTTAAATAACTCTTTAAAAATCTGAGCACATCTGTTGAATGCATACTACCAAGAGTTTATTTTCTGTATCCCTTAGGGGTGGTGATCTGTATATGATTCCACTCAGGTCCTTAAAAGTAAAAAAGCAGCTGTTTAACATATAATGCAGGACAAAAACAACACCGTAGCAGCAAAACTGAAAAAAGAAGAAAAAAAAAGCATGCAAAATTTCACCTCCATCTTAGTAGACTTTAAAAAATCCAGAGAGAATAAAACACATATAAGGGATTCTTACCCTTTTTCAAATAAAGGTAGAAAAGGTTACAAAGAGACAAAAGGCTAAGGAATCCGCTAAGGATTCCAGGCTTTCATTCACTTTCTTTTATGCCACTTTCACTTAGTTTAGGAAACTCAAGAGAAGCTTTCTTATCAGATGAACACACCAGCATGCAAAAATAATACTGCTTGAGTGTCAACAGTGAACATAAAATGAAGTTGTAAATGGAATGTATTGGGGCCATAACTTGAGATTACTTTAAAGATAAAACTGTCACTTAATAGCCCTTTCGGCTCATCTTAGTGTTGGGACTACCCTATAAGTACTATAAACAACAAGACAATTGTCAAAGCCCCATGGGCCAAATGTTTCCCAAAAAAATCGATGCTCAAACTCTAACTCCCTGAAGTCCTATCTAACAATTACAGTACCATGCATCCAAGTATCTTTTCACAGCAAATCCACTCATTCCAAACCATTATCAAGCCCCAGCTGGGTAGCTCAGTCAGTTGGAGCTTTGTTCAGGACACCAAAAGGTTGCAGGTTTGATTCCAGGTCAGGGCACATACCTAGGTTGAGGGTTCAATCCCAGCAATCAATCGTGTTTCTCCTGTCTCTCTCTCTCTCTCTCTCTCTCTCTCTCTCTCTCTCTCTCTCTCTCTCTCTCTCTCTCAAAATTAATAAACATATCATTGGCTAAAGAGTAAAAGAAAAATAAAATTATTAAGCAACTATTTGCCTGTTTGGTGACCAACAGTTTCCTTCTATCCAGAAAACAAAGATTTCACATGAAAAGAAAACAAGCACAGGAAAAGCATAAATGCATGCCTATATCTTCGAGGATCAAAGCTACTTTAGCAAAAGCAATCTAAACTGGGTACTAAAGCCAAAAGATCAATAATCTGAGATTTTCAAAATATTCTGGATAACCAACATGACAGCTAAAATACACACACAAGCCGGGACCAGTTTGGCTCAATAGATAGAGCGTCGGCTTGGAGACTGAAGGGTCCCGGGTTCGATTCCGGTCAAGGGCATGTACCTTGGTTGCAGGCACATTCCCAGTAGGGGGTGTGCAAGAGGCAGCTGATCGATGACTCTCTCTCATCGATGTTTCTAACTCTCTATCTCACTCCCTTCCTCTCTGTACAAATCAATAAAATATATAAAAAATAAAAAAATAAAAATAAAATACACACACAAGTTTCATTTTAATTTGTAACACCCTCGTCACCCCTCTTGGACCCCTCGATTCCGAGCTAGCCTGCCCACTGTCTTCGTGGGCCATCTCCATGTACTTCCCTAGTGTGTAAAGAAACACTAATAGCCCAGCCAGTTTGGCTCACTGGATAGAGCATCAGCCTCAGGGTCCACGATCAAGGGCACATGCCAGGGTTCAGGTGGCAGACTTGACCCCCAGTAGGGGGCGTGCAAGAGGCAGCTGATCAATGATTTTCTGTCATCATTGATATTTCTATCTCTCTCTCCCTCTCCCTTCCTTTCAGAAATCATTAAGACTGTGTTAAAACAACAACAACAACAACAAAAAACCACTAATATTATAGCAGGCAAGAAAAACTCAGCCTCCCTCCAGCTGTTAGGCAGATTGTTCCCCCTGTTGAAATCACAATTTAGGGAGCCCACCGTCTCTAAAGTATTCCCAGGGTTTCAGACTACACTGAGCTTTTTTTTTTTTTTTTTTTTTTCTTTAAAAAAAACCACAAACAAAAAACACAACAACAGCACTCAGCTTGGGCACACAGTCCAAAACCTCTCTGCATCGTCTGCTCACTATACTTTGTCTCATCTCCCCATAGACTCGGAAAGCCACTTGAAGGGTCTTGTTCCTTTAGCAATGCTCGTCTAAGCCACACGCCACCTCTTCATTGCATTCTGAGCTCATATTCATATGGGCTCCTAGAAAATTATAACCTGAAAGGACCTTCAGAGATGTCTAGTCTGAATTAACCAATCCGTCAGGCAGAACCAGGTTCAAATTCTGCCTCTGGCACATTCTAGGCAGGTAGACTGTTTTCTTATCTGTAAAACAGAAATAAAACTACTTCATAGAACTGTTGGAATGACCAAATGAAATTATTAACTTTTTAAAAAAATTTTGGACTTTCCTTTTTTGGGGGGTTCTTGTGAAGACACTCTTTTTGGGTGATTTTCTTCCTGGTTTATATTACATTCAATTGCAAGCCCAAAAGGCAGGCTTTCCTTTTACTGTGTTCACTGGTTTTATGGTGCCTAGTCCAGTGCACAGCATCTTTTGAGAGAGCCACAGAACAACCATGTGAAAGAATGCATCAAACTTCTATTATCACCACCAATTTCAGCAAATGTGTGGTTCGTTAGTTCCCCCAAATACCCACTCACTTCGGATTGGGTGTTTTCTAAATGTGCCTTCTCAAAACAAATACATCTCTTTATCTCTCTATTCCCTCTTCTTGCACGGGGCGGGGAGACACCCACTGCCTCTCTTAATTTTTGGAATAAAGTTAGAATCTCTACGAGGATATTAAGGTAAACTGCGATAAGGTGAAGAAACAGAATTTAGAAGAATTTAGAAAATATCTGGAGAATTTACTTAGGATTTTGTGGCATCAAGCCCTTCAATGAGAATTACTTGTCTAGAACAAATTCTGGCAGAGAGTAAGAAACTCACTGGCCAGCTGTCAGTGAAGCGACTAGTAAGTACTGCACTTCACTCCGTTTTGTGCAAGCAAGCAGTTCCTCAAAGGATCAACTTGATGCTGATACTGGGTATAGATATCCTTCAACAAGAAACACGTTCCTTTGGAAGTGTTGGCCCCTTGGTAGTAAATTTATATATTAAAGGGGGCATACATTTTGCTCTTGAAATGCATTTTACTAGGAAAATTCTGCTCCATATGCCAGGGCAAAAGTGCCATTTCTTTCCTTTGTGGGGTGTGTGTGTGTGTGTGTGTGTGTGTGTGTGTGAAACAAGGAGGGAGAAGCGAATAAGATCCCAGACCCTCGAAGAAGACACAGATTTCCACCAAAGTAGGTTGGTTCTTTCAAGGAATATTTTTTTCCCAACAGTTAAAACGGTGTAACACTTCCTCGGCATCTTGTACCAATTACACACACACCATTTCAGCAACTCGGGTGGCCTGGGGAAAAGACCACAGCAATCCTTCCGAGGCCCCGCTGTCCCCCCCCCGCGGGGCCTGACAGCGTGTCCCGGGCGCCCAAACACTGGCCGCCAGGCTCCCCCAGCGCCTTCCTCCCAAGGCTCCTGGGCCAAACTCCAACGTCGCCGGATTCAAACCGCGAAAATGTGAACCCTGCTAAGCAAACGGTAGGGCGCGGAACAACTTTTCCCATCCTTTCTCCTTTTGCAGATGTGAGATACTTGTGTCTCTAAGGCCAACTTCCCAGGTCCACAGCCCTCTTCCCGGATCGGATCCCACATCAGGAGAAAGCAAGAGGGTGTGCAGCCCAGAGAGAGGAGAGCTAGCTGGTGACTTAAGACAACCTCTGCTCTTGGTTTTCCTGCTGCGGGACACTGAGTACAAGGCAGCCCCGCGACGATGCCATGCGAACATAAAGGAGGGAGAAGGAATGCTCTCCTCCTCGGCCCTGCCAAAAAGAAGCAATGAAAGTCAGCGGGCGTTTAGCTGGAAATCCCGGGCCTTCTTCTGGGGGCCGCTGGGGCCCGCCAAGCGGGCGTCTGGAACCTGGAGGAAGAAAAGTTATACCCAGCAAAGTGGAGGAGGTCTGGGCGTGAGGGTGCAGATCGGTCCCCAAGGGGCCGCGGGGAGAGAGATGGGCACTTAGCCGGTCCCGCGCGCGGCCAGCTGCAGCCACCGGCGAGCCGGCCCGGGCGAGGCGCCCGCGCTCGGGCTCGCGGAGCCCCCCAGAACCCCCGAAGAAGCCCCCCCGAAGCCGTACTTACATAACGCTTCAACTTTTTCTCCGGGGGCGACTTGCGGAGCCATCCCGAGCAGACCACTTCGCCGCCGCTCATGGTGCGCGCTCCTCGGGCTCCGGCCCGGGCAGCCGAGGGCGGGCGCGCGCGCTCCGGACGCGCCGGGCGCCTGCGGGCGGAGCAGCGGCGGGGACCTCGCTGTCCGGCTCTGCACCCCAGTCCGGCGGGGTGGGCGGGGTGGGCCGGCTCCGCGGCGCGGCTCCGGGTCCGAGCCTCTCCTCCGCAGGTCGGCAGACGTGAACAGGAGCGGGCTGTGCCCCCCGAGGCCGGCACCTCGGGGTAGGGGCCGCCGCCCGTCCAGGGCACTTCGGCCTCCGTTCAGCGCGCCCGCCTGGCCGCCAAGGCGCCCGGTGCCGCCGGCCCTGGGAAGCGATCGGACTCCGCGGGACTGACTCTGCCCCCCGGCGGCGCCGAGCCGGGGCCCCCTGCGCTCCGCCCCCTAAAGACAGAGCCTCCCCAGAGCGCCTTCCGAAACGGACACTGCGCTGCACGCGCGCACACACACCGACACACACACACACTCTCTCTCTCCCACACTCACTGTCTCACACACAATGCCCAGCGCGGCGCCCTCTCCGGCTCTCCCGCTCTCCCGCTCCGGTTTCGGGTGCGCCCCGGGGCGATCCTATCCCTCCCTCCTCCCCGGCGGAGGGTGGGTCACTTCCCCGCACACCCGGGGAGCCGGGAGGAAAGGGGAAGCCGCGAGGGTCCCGCGGACCGCGGGCACAGGGCAGTCCCGGGCGGCGGGCGCTGGGCAGGGAAGCGGGTCCCGCCGGAGGGGGGTGCGCGCTCGCGGCCGCGGCCGAGGGCGGGCGGCGGCGGAGGGACGAGGCACCTCGCTCGGCCGCTGGGCTCCGGGGTTGGGTCCCCACTGTCCCGCGCCCTCGCGCTCCTCCCGCGCCGCCTCCCCCACCCGGGGCGAGGGGCAGGTTCTGAGCCGCCCGGCCCCCAGCCCGATCACTCCCTCCCTCCCTCCCTCCCTCTCCCGGCCTCCGGGTTCCCTCTTCCTCCCTTTCCTCCTCCCCTTCCCACGTTCGGGCTGGCTCCCGTCTCAGCCCAGACTTTCTCTGAAACTCCGCCCAAGCGCTCCAGCCAAAACAACAAGGGCCGGGGAGGCGGCCCCGGGCGGAGGAGGGAGCGGGAGAGGGAGGAGGGAGAGAGGGAGGGAGGGAACGGGAGTCCTCGGGGCAGCCTGGGATTTGTAGTTCGGGAAGCCGGAGCGGGGTCCGCGGCCGCGGGGCGGCGGTGGCGGCGGAGCCCCCAGCCAGCCGGCTCCTGGGGAAAGGAGGGGGGGGTGGCGGCCGAGGCCGAGGCGAGGGCATCGCGGCCAGGGCCTGGGCGCTTGGTGGAGTGAGGAGCGTTAGCATGGTCTGTCAGGTTTCCAGTCTTGGAGCATAGGGTTTGCTCGGAGTCGGTTCTGTGCATGAGATCTGAAGTTTGCAGAGTTTTCTCTACTTGACAGCCTGCACAGCGAACCGGCCTGGAGGGAGGCTGCCCCGGAAACCGAAGGGCAGGCGCCGGGAGGGCAGGGCGCGGGGATCAGCGCCATGGATACCCGCTTGGAAGGGCGGACCAGCCGGGCTCCAGCTGGAGGGTCCCCGGAGCAGCCCTGCTAGTGTGGTGGGAACGCTGAAGATATTGGAAGGGGGGTGGAGGTGGGGGGCAAAAGATTTTATTTGAATTTATTTTTGGGACAGTTTAAAGCCTCACAATGTCTCTTTGTTCCCAGTTTTTTCTCCTACTGGACTGCATTTGTTTTAAAATCGACTCTTGAGATGTTGGACTAGGAAAGGGAAACTTACTGGATGATCCGTGTGCCTACTTGTGTGTGTTTTACAATTATGATACCTGATCCTGGGTTTAACCTGATCCTGTAATAGAAATATCTTTTCAAACATACTTAGGAAAGACAAAGCCCTAAAAGAGAATTTAGAAGGTAATAGATAAAGGTGCTAAAAGTATTAGGAAATAAATGAATATTTCTGGAAACAATCACCTTGGGCATTTTTTTAGGAACACGTTCAAATCCAGAAGTTCCTCTGAGTTTGAAAATGTACAATTTTAGCAAGAAATTAGAGGCTGCGGGCGGTGTCATACAAAGGTCCCAGTGCTGAGATAACGTTCCGACGGTGACATAGGACGGTAAACAAATATAAGGTCTACTCAGTACAGATTGTGAAAAATGTAACCTGGGGAAATAAACACAGTAAATGGAAAGATAAAGAGGTAGGAGTAGCCGAAACCGGTTTGGCTCAGTGGTAGAGCGTCGGTCTGCGGACTGAAAGGTCCCAGGTTCGATTTTGTTCAAGGGCATGTACATTGGTTGCGGGCACATCCCCGGTAGGGGGTGTGCAAGAGGCAGCTGGTCGATGTTTCTCTCTCATCGAGGTATCTAGCTCTCTATCTCTCTCCCTTCCTCTCTGTAAAAAAATCAATAAAATATATTAAAAAAAAAAAAAAGTAGGACTAGGTTAGATAGGAAATAGGGAAGTATTCCTCAAAGAGGCATTTAGCCAGATATTTGAAAGATATAAGGGAGGGGAAGCTGACATGTTTTGAGGAAGAATAAAAGGCATAATAACCTCAAGGATGTCTGCAAAAGAAAGAAGCAAGGGGGCTTGTTGTAAAGGCTTTTTAGAAAACAAGGGAGGGTAATTTTTATGGAGCTGGTAAACCAAAGCAATTCTTTTAAAGATGTGAATACAAATTTCCCACAAGTTGTTCAAATGAAAACACGTCATCAAATTTGTTTTTTACTTGTCTCGTAAGTAATGGGTCAGCACACGGAGTCAAAAGTATTTATAATTAGCATTAGTAAAATCAGTCCATCGTTGGGTACTTAACGGTTGACTTTCAAAAATTTACTACTCTCTCACTCCTGTTATAAAATTCATTTTAATGAAAAATTGTAATAAATCTTATATGTTTCAATATATTTTTTAATATTTCAAATAAGCGATTCAATCATCTCATTTCTATATAAGAAATCTTTAAGTATTTTCCCCATTGACAGTTGTTGTAGATTAGTATTTCTAGAGCTCAAATAAAACTTGAGGAGAGGTTGAAAATAGATATGTTTCTATGTATGTATTTTAGAAAGGAAATTTGCATTATTTTTACATTACATGCCATTTTAGATTTTATATCTTCATACCGTAAAAGGATGCTGGTGCCCCACCGGTGTGGTTCTGTGGTTGCATGTCAACCTATGAACTTGGAGGTCATGGTTTAATTGCAATCAGGGCATATGCCCAGGTGGTGGGCTAATCCCCAGTGTGGGACATGCAGGAGGCAGCTGATCAATGATTCTCTCTCATCATTGATGTTTCTATCTCTCCCTCTCACTTTCTTTCTGACATCAATTAAAAAATATATTTTTTTAAAGGTATCCTGAAAAAAGCTATCTACATTATAAAAAGCCAGTGGCCAGAACACCAGGAGGTGCATTACTGGGTTCGGCCAAGGCAGTGGGAGGGACTCTGGGTCCCCCTGGAAGGAGAATGGATAGGTTGGGAAAGACCTTACATTGAGATCCTCAGGCCTGGCCAAATAGTGGAGACGAGTATTTCAGACAGAAGAGAAACTATCCAAGTCCTCAGGCTGGAAGTGAAACCCAAAATGCGGGATGTTGAGTCCGAATGAAGTCACGGACTAAAACAGCGGAACCGAGGTTTATTGGGAGAAGCCAGTCCTGGAAAAGGTGTAGCTGGGTTTCCCGGAGCAGCCCCTTGTCCAGAACTTCCTTTTCATGTTACAGTGAGCAGAAGTTGAGCGTGTAAGCCAATTAAAGTCTATTAGTCCATGTGTGGAAGGTCACATGGCCATAAGCCATGTGGACAACGCCCCCTCCTCCCACCTCCACCCCCTGAAGAAACATCAGGAACCCACTGAGTGTGGGGGAGAAGAGGGAGGGTGAAAGGAAGTGCTAGCCTTTTAACTCAGGGGGTTGAGACAGCCTTGCTAGCTCCTGATTGGTTATCTGCATGCTGTCTGTCTTAGCATGATTCATACATTTTTATAGTTCATGTCTCTTGTGCGACACCCTTCCTTCTCTGACTAGTTGGGGTGTCTTAGTAATTCCACCTAGTTGGGTTCTTGGGTTTTACTTTCCCTTCCCATGATCCCGCCCCTACCTACCTAGCTTTCTTGTGTCTCCTCAGAAGGAGCAACCAAGTACTGAATGAAGGCAGCAGTCAGGCGAGTAAGAGGGACACTAGGCGACAGGGTGAAATTCCAGAGGCGGGCCAGGGAAAGGTTGTGCAGATCCTTGAAGATAATCTCAGAGTTCAGACATTTCCTTGGAGCAAATGGCTATGTTATCTCCAGTGACTTTAGAATCAGATCAAATAATCACCCATATGGCCTTTATCATTTACCTCTGGCATCCCACTTCATGTATCTTCTACCTTGATCTTTCCCGTTCTTCTTTAAGTAATTTTTCTCCTCAACAGCTTTTGTAGACTGTTGATACCTCCATTTTCTCATGATCTATCAGACCTCTTCTTCCTTTATTCTCCTTTTCCACTTTAAATGTTATGATCCACATTTTTACTACATGCTCCCAATTCACAAAACCCCAAATCTGAATGAACCCAACTCTATGTTCTTCTGCATACCAGCAGCAAAGTGATGTTGGAGCAAGTTATACAAAAGAATGAATGATCCACTAAATAGTCATGTTTAATGTCTTCAATTAGATCCTCAGCTATCTGCAAGGGGCAGACCTTGGCTTTCTGGAGCTTATATGGTTTGGGGAGTCCTTTTAAAGAAAAAGAATATACAATCACAAATGTAACAGGGAGAATATGTATTTAGAATGAGAAAATAAACAGATTATTGGAGGCTTGGAGATATCTGGACAGTCTACTTTATCTAGACAGTCTACCCTCTGTAGTAACTTAAAAAAAAAGATAACAGTTTTATTGAGATTTAATTCACATACCATAAAATTCACATTTTTAAGTGCACAATTTTATGGTTTTAATATATTTACAATATTTTTCATCTTCACTACTAGTTAATATTAGAATATTTCATTG